TTTTTGGTTTTTCTCTGGTACCGGGAACCGAACTCACGACCTTGCGCTTGCCAGGCAGGCGCTTTTGCCGCTGAGCTAAATCCCCAGCCCCTCATCCATTTTAATCTTATATACCATTGTGTTACTTTTTCCACAAATTGTTCTCTTATCATAAGCCAGGCTGATTTTCTTATTACTCAGCACTGAGTGTATAGTCTTATCATTAATTTGAAGCACTGTAAAATATATGTAACCTCAGCCTACTTTCTCAATTAAATGGAACATCCCTTAAAGTCAGGATGTTTAATCTTTTATTTGTTTGAATCATCCACTGACTAGTAGAAGGTACTAAAAATATTGATAGACTGATCCAATTCTGATCATCAAATAACAAGAAATATCCAATTATGGAACAGAAATACATTTATATTATTGTATGGCTTCAGCAAGAGATGACTACAGTCATGTTGAGTAATAACTGCAACTGCCCCACAGGGACCTTGGTCAGTTTTTCCTGCATAGTTTCCCAGCAAATTGTTTTGTTTTTTTTTTTTCTCTGGTACTGGGAACTGAACTCATGACCTTGCGCTTGCCAGGCAGGCGCTTTGCCGCTGAGCTAAATCCCCAGCCCCTTCCCAGCAAATTGTAAACAGATAAAACCTTTCCAGTGGTTTGTGGAGCTTTACAATCTGACCTGTCAACAGGAATGTGTGTGATTCTGATATTACTTAAGATAAATTAGGTACATGCAGATTAGGATGAAATCTTTTACCCTCACCAATGTATAAGAAGTGACTGAAAAATACAAGGAATGCTTAAATTTTTAAAATTTATTACAGTAAAACACACATTAATTCCACTCAAAATTCTCCCCTTCAAGTCAAACGCACTTTTTGAAGCAGTTCTGGAAGTCCTCCATCATGAATGTCTTCACAGGGTATAACAACAACAAAAAAATACAGTGAAAGCTGCTGCCAACTGCCACCCAACAGAAAGGCGGGCTCATAAAAACATTGTGGTGTGAACCCATTCACCTTACTAACTGGATCTGGCACTGTGCGATTCCTGGTTCTTCCCCAAAGTCAATATGACCATGAAAGGTAAACATTCTGAACTGATTCAGGACACGGAGCCAACCACAACAGAGCAACTAAAGATACTCATGACACTTCACTCCAGAACTGCTTCAGAAAGTGGCAAAAGCAATGGGATAAATGTGCTCAAAGTGAAGGGGGATATTTTAAGAAGGATTAATGGCACTATGTTTTCAGTTGTAATGATCTTTTAAAGGGCAGCACCATATTTTTCTCTTGTGTCTTGTATATGTTCCTGCTTTTGATCCAAATTGCATGGAACCATGTACTTCTTCTACTGCCCAGAAACATGCTTCTGTCAGTAAGGGACCCCAGTAAATTGCATCCTGTGTAATTCTGAAGCTGTTTGCTTTCCTGCAGTCTCATGGCACCTTGGAACTGGTCTTCATATGCTGGGCACGTTATTCTGAAACATTTACAGAAGCATTTTTAATAGACAGCATTCATAAAAAGGGATTTAGAGTTAATCCCAAATTAAATATTTTAATTGCTTACGTGACAGTTAATTATGACATGTCAGCTTGAATGGATTAAGAAACACTTAAGAGTATTATTGAAGAACACTTCTGGGTGTGTCTAGATGGGACATCTAGGTGTGACCATGGGTACAATATACAATTCTTGGCCCCTTTTCTTTCTGGTGTTCCGGTCTCTGCTTCCTACATCCATGAATTAAACATCTTTGCTCTGTCATGCACTTCCGCTTGATGTTTCTGAGTTGGAGCCAGTCAACCATGGACTGAATCCCCTGAAACCTCTCTTCCCTTAAATTGTGGGTAATGGGTTTTGTGTCCAGTAACAGGAAAACTGACAAATACAGCTTACCATTCATACCTATTTCCAAAACATACCTGAGATGATAAATATAAAAAGTCCACATAATGTCTGCTTACCAAAATAAAGATAAAAGATCAAAAGTCAAGGAGTAAAACAAGCTGAGATAATTATACCAGAAACCTCAGTTAGGGAAGGCAAGTTGTTGCAATCAGAAATATGCTCAACATGACAACAGAAAAAGGTGATCACTGAAGGTCTTTTAGACTCTCCCTCTTAAATATAATTTAAATCAGGTTTCTGACAGAAACAAATGTTCTAGCAGATATTAGCTATAGACAAAAGTATATGATAAATAGCTGGTATTTAGAGATATTGGTTTGTTAATTTAAAAGTATGTGATCACAAAGCCTCAGGTGCCAGGCAAATTCAAAATTAACAATTTGTAATTAAAACAAATGAAGTTGAACAGTTTTCTCCCACACACAAGGCCCCTGTTGAGCTACAAGAGGGTGAGCCACAGGGATACTCACAGGCAACTCCCATAATGACGCTTCGGTCTCCATTACACTATAAGTCACTCACTTGTGGCTCCAGAGTTCCTCCCACAAAGCAGGGATGAAAGGAGCTGATCTGAAAAAATTTAAACATACTCAAGTATGGAATTGCTCCCACGTGTTCTTATACCCTCTTTTTACAGGCCCACAGAACCCTTTAGAAAAAAGAAATAGGCCCCTGAGTTGTAACAGAGTAAATGATTTAATCTGCTATTATGAGGACTGAATTATGAAAGCAGGGTCATCTTCCCCAAGGAAATCATATCAAAGCAATCTTATTATATTCTAAGGCATATTACAAAAAAGGGGAGGTGCGTGGGGTGTGGTGGCACATGCTTATAGTCCCAGGACTTTAGGGGGCTAAGGCAGGAACAGCAGTTGAGACCATGAGCTCAAGACCAGTCTGGGCAACATAGGAACACACTGTCTCAAAACAAAAAATAAAGTACCGTAAAAAGGGGTGATGAATATATATATAATTGGCAAAGCATAACACCTGTTCTCGGTAAGCATTAAAACAGTAGGCAGGGGCTGGAGGTGTGGCTCAGCCATAATGCTTCCATACCATGGCCAAGGGCTTGGTGCACTCCCCAACACCACACAACATACACAAAACCCCAGCAGGCACTCAGTGTCTGTGAAGAGACCCATCACACCTATCTTTACGAGTGCCCAGCTGCAGTGTGTACTTGCTACTCCAGGAGCACCTCCGACAGGATATACCAGTGACAAGACAACAACTCTTTCTTTATGTTTCTACCTGAGTTATTACAGAGGAGAATTTATTTCAAAGGGGCTATCCTGTCTGACACTGAAGCATGCTGTATTCCCTCTACTTATTTTAGTATATGTGCTGCTGAAGCAAGCACTTCTCTCTACTTAGCAGATTATAAAACTAATAGGTATTAAATCAGTATTTTCTTTACTGACTCTCAGATCTAACCCAACCCAAAGATTGTCAGGGAATGAGAGAATAATATACCAATAAAGCAGAGTTGATTTCCCTGTTTTATTCAAATTTTGCTATTCATGTGTAATTTCATGTACCATAAAGGCTGACTACAGAAGCAGTCTTGCTTTTAGGGTAATGCTGCTGGTGAAGGATTCAGAAACTGTCATTAGAAATCTGCAGCTCTGATTGTGGATTGTGCAAATTATGAGCACAGGAGGGACAGGTGACAGAAAGAGGAGGCATGGCTGCTCAGAGAGAGCTTTCTCTGAAGTCTCTCCCTTTGACTAAGGACAGAGTCTTACTCTGGAGCGGACTGACAGGGTGTTATAGTTTGGGGTTTTTGCAAATAGAAACAATACAGGACATGTACTTTATAAGATTATTTATAACAGTCACCCAAAGAATCGTATACAAATAGAGTGCTGTGGGGCTGGGGATTTAGCTCAGCGGCAAAGCGCCTTCTTGGCAAGCGCAAGGTCGTGAGTTCGGTTCCCGGTACCAGAACAAAAAAAAAAAAAAAAAAAAAAAAAAATAGAGTGCAGGAAATCCGTCCACACACTGAAGACCAAAGAATCCAGCTGAGGGCCTGGATCCCATGACAGTGTCTCATGCAGGCCTGTTTCACGGATCTGCAGTGGGAAGGCTGAAAGGTCAGTGGTGGAAGCAGGATGTGCCAGCAGGATGAAGGATCTGTGCTAGCAGGCTGAGGGATCTGCACTGGAGCCAGAAAATGACACTCAAAGTAAGAACCAGAGCTCTCCCGAAAAGTACTACAGCCATCCTCAGCAACAGTGAGGTCCCGAGCTGCTCTGAATAATCAGGAAAGCCAAGTTCCCATCAGGAAAGCCAACATGACAAGCTTCTCCAGGAGACTGAGCAGTGTACCATCTTTCCCTCTGGAGCCAGGAAGTGATGCTCAAAGTGAGGACAAGAGCTCCCCCAAAATGAACCAAAGCCATTCTCAGTGACAACAAGGTCCCGAGCTCCTCCTCCAATCAGAACAGCTGAGTTCATCAGGAAAGCCAGCCTGGCAAACTCCTCCAGGAGAACCACCAGCTCCCTACAGCTTCTCAGTGGCTTCCAACAGGCACCCAGCAGCTCTATCAGCTCCCAGCAGCCTCACTTCTTTTTCTCCAGTTCTGCTTCTTATACTGCTAGCAACAATCCTCAGGTGGGCCTCCCACACCCAGCATCATGCTGACTCAGTTCAGCTGGGTGTTACAAGTTGCCCACCAGTTGTCAATCCACTATGACAGGGGATCCAGTTCTGCCTCCACAGAACTTGTGTTACCTAATAGGCTTTTGATCTGCAGAATAAGACAACCTTTATTCACCACATTTCCTCCTCTATCACCCTTGGAACTGTTGCCTCAAGCCCTGTGGCAGTGACGAGCCTCTGCCCCTGTCTGTAGCTCAGGATGCTATAAAAACTTTCATTATCTGGCCCTTCTTTGAGTCTTGTGTTCTGTGAAATTCCTGCACATATGCTCATAATTAAAATATTTTTTCTTATTAATCTCTCTGTTAGTTTTTTTCATAGACTCAATCACCGAACCATCTGAAGGTAGACTTCTTCAATCCCCATACAGTGGCACCTCAGCTTATGAACTTCATTTGTTTTATGACTTTGGGGAAGGTGGTGGGTTCGTGTTTGGGTGGGGAAGATGGCATGGCTGTGTCTCTTACCTGATGTGAAGTTTGCAAACAGAAGCAAAATTCTGCAAAAAGCTTTTGTGTGCAAACTAAATTGTTAACAAACAGAAGCATGATGTATAGCAAGTTTTAGGACACCTGGGAGCCATATCACAAAGAAGAAAACTTACAGAGAAGATCTAGATTATAGCAAAAATAATATTATAATGTAAGTTATAGTAACAAAATAACAAAGGAGTGCATTTCCATCAGATGAAGACTATGCTAGGAAATGTACAAAAACTCTTGAAATTGAAGAGTTCTGAGTACCTACAATAAGTGATACAGAATACTACAGAATAATATTCAAATACCAAAGATATTTGATCACTAAGTATTTTATATTAGGTACATACTACTTAAGATGCTTTTGTAGCAACTGTTTTAAAAGGGCATTCAAAACTAATTTAAAACTTCATATCCCTGAAACATACATAAAATAGTCCCAGTAAAATATAAATTTTAAGTCTCAAAATAGGAGCAATGTTTACTTCCTTGAAATGCTCAAACATATAAACACAAAAAAGTTTATACAGGAAATGTTGTTTCCAATGAACAAGTATCAAGCATATGTCACTTACCAAATGTCAATTACTGACAGAAAAAGCTTACAAGTACTGTAAGACAAGCAGTACAAATTGTTCTCTAATTTTTGCTTTCATGTTTTATCACTATTTTCAAAAGAGTAAAACAAAATGGGTTATAATTTTGTCTCTGATTGTATCATGCTTTTTTTTAGTAATGCAGAATAGTGGGGTTTGCTTGGGGAAATTGTTACATTCATACTACAAATCGTGATCATTTTCAATCCCTTTAGCCCCTACCCCCTTTCCTATCTCTGAAAGTCTACTTTCTAGTTTCCTGTCATCTTTCCTTCATTTATTTAGTTTCTCACATAACAGACAAAGCATAATATTAACTTTCAGAGTCTGGCTTCTTTTGCTTAACATGATGGTCTTGTTCCATCCACTTTTCTCCAAATGATGATTTCATTCTTCTTTATGACTTAATAATATGCATATTTATATACATATGTGCATGTATATATCTCCCTTCTTTTATCCATTCATGCCTACCATCTGTAAAGTGGGCCACTACAAACATGAGTAGGAATGTATCACTATAGTATGTTGTTTTTAATTTTACAGAGAATGCATCCAGGAGTGGCATAAGGTAAACAAATACAAGTACGGTGAAAATCAGTATGGAGGCTCCTCAAAAAACCGAAAAAAGAAATATGACACCTTTTTAAAAAATCAGCCACATTTTGAAAAATGAAGTGGCTAATACAAACAAAGTAATAACTGAAAAAGTAGGCAAGGCTTCCAATATCATTCCTGTTGTACCATTGCTATGGACTGAATCCCTCACTCCATATTTACCTCCAGCACCCCACAATGTGACCATAGTTAGAGGTTCTATAGAGGTATTGAGGTTAAATGAGATCCTAAGGGTGGGGCTCTACCTAATCTGGCAGGGCAGGTGTCCTTGCAGGAAGAGGAAGAAACATCAGGAAACCAGGTGTATTTGTTACGGCAAGATCAAAAACAGGTCTGGTGAACCTTGGGCCATCATCTACTTCAAAGATATTTGAAGAGAAACCTGAAACTTAGAAGCTGAAGTTAAAGATTAGAGAGTGAGGATTTATTTAAAGGCAGAACTTTTGGAGTCAGTGCTTCCTGTACCTTTCCCCAGCCAAGTGAGGGGGCATCAGAATACCCTGGTGTCTGAGGAATTTGAAGAGTCTACAACTGAAAGAGTCTAAGCTACCTAAGAAAATCTCATGCAAAGAAACTGGCCAGGGTGCCTGTGGGTGACAGCATACAGTCAGGGCTCTGCCCTGGGGCTGAACCAGGCTCTATTATAAGGACTTGGCAAAGGTGAGCAAATGCTTCCTGAGGATGAGATGGGAGCTCAAAAGAAGAATAAGATACAGATAATCTAGACGGACTGCCTGGAGGTCACCCCCTGGGAGCTGAGGGCTCAGCAGGATGGAAAAGGGGCCAGGTGAGCAGGTACCATTGAGATTAGGGCCTTGGGGGATGTATTAGTCAGCCTCCCTGCTATTGGACAAAATACCTGATCCTCCACAACCTGAAGGAGAGGTTTATCAGGCTCACAGCTTCAGAGGATCCAGTCCATTCCAGCCCCAAAGGTAGAACAGGCAGAGCAGAGCGCAGCAAAGGTCCTTAGTTGATGGTGATCAGAAAGCAGAGCAGGGCAACAATGCCAGGGAGAAGGTGGCCAGGAACCAGATATAGTACCCAAGGTCACGTCTCCATGACCCACTCACTCCCACCAAAAGTGTACTTGACTAATATGCCAGACATTTCTTAACCATGTCAAGTTGAAAGTCATGATTAAGAATGTGAGACGCATCTCCCTCAGTAATGGATGCCTAGGTTGGGTGGTTAGTGTAGTTTGTTAAGCATCTTCCCAGCCACTTTTACCCAATGAACCAGCCAGCTTTCCATCAGCAAGAAATGCCTGGCACGGGCTACTTCAGAAGAAAAGGGAAGTTTATTTTCACTCAGAATTGGGATGTTCAAGCCTCACTGACTAGGGCCTCATGTAGGGATTGATTATGGGAGAGATCACTCACATCCTAAACCAGGAAGCGGGGTGGGTAGGTGGGTAGAGGCTGGGTGAAGAGAGGCAGACAGTGGAAGAGGCTCCCCCTAGTCCTCCTGCAGAGCACACTCACAACGCTCCCTGTGGGCCTCCCTTCTTAAAGGTCCACAGCACTCCTGATACTGCCGCCCTGGGACAGAGCATTTACACAGGGGCCTTTGGGGGACCCTTATCCAAACCACTGCACCCAGTATTTGAAAAAGATCTTCCCTTGGATAAAATATTTCTGGCACTTTGCTACACATGCTGTCTGGCCTTCTTACTCTACATGTTTTAGTACATTTCATGTGAATAGGACACCACTGCTGTAAAGGATGTGACTATATTATCCTTCTCAGTCTAGCTACTAACACTCTGAGAAATACACTTTCCACTGTAAGTTGGAGAAAATAAGGAAGGAGCAAGGAATGGTGGCACATGGCTGTCATCCCAGCTATTTGGGAGGCTGAGGCAGGAAGAGGTCAAGTTTAAGGACAACCTGGGTAACCCAGTGAGACTCTGTCTCAAACAAAACAAAACAGAACCAATGACCAAAAAAAGGAAGAAAAAGACAAAGAAGAAAAGAAATAGTTTTGCAAGGACCAATCATTTTTCTTACTGTTTTTAGGAGGAAGAACTTGCTAGTGATAGTTACCACTTGAAAAAAGCAATTCCTTCATTTCTAATCATTTCATGCCACAATCAAAAATCATTTTCGGGCCAGAGGTATAGCTCACCGGCATGTTGCCTTCCTGGCAAAAGCAAGGTCCTGAGTTCGATTCCTAGTACAAAAATAAATCATTTTCTGTCTCACTAAATGAGCACAATTATTTTACGACTCACTCTTGCTTATGAGAAGAAGCAAGCACTGGAGTGAGCTTCCAGCTTCCAGCTTCCAGTCTCCCATGACATCAGAAATTTCTTTTAAAAATGGTGTTTCATTATCAGTTCCGTCTTATTCTAGGTAAAAAGGGACTTGGCATGAAATACCAAGGTGATCACTGTGGAAAACCCACAAATGTCTAAAATCTTGTTTAATATATACATTTGAAATATCGGATCGCATAACCCTTGTTGAAAACTAAGCCTGCGCTGACTCCCAAAAGGCTGCGCAGCGGTACTGACCCGGACAGAGCTGGAGCAGGCGCTGCCGCAGTGCCGCGGGCACCAGGCCTCCAGGCAGCTCGCGCAGGAAGCGCTTCAGCAGGCTGGTTGCTGCTCGAAGGTCACCTGCACCCAGCTCCACGAACGCGCCCCTCTCCCACGCGCGCCGGAGCCTGTCTACCGCCTTCACGCTGCCGTCCACCCGGAACAGGCCCTCCTGGAAGCCCTGAAATAGCAAAGCAGGCCCAGGAAGTACACCAGTGCTCTCAAGCAGACACAGAACCTACAGAGTAACAGCTTGAATAAATAACATCTCAACATCAGTCACAGGAGGATGTTCATATTCTGTAAAAATGTTCATATTCTCTAAAAATGTTTACATCAAGGCAAAGGGTCACACGTGCTTGTTGTAAGAGCTGACCTAAAAAAAAAAAGTCATTTCTAGAACATACAATACTGTACAAGAAATTTAATATATAAGAAAAAGAATTTCAGGGGCTGGGGATTTAACTCAGCGGCACAGCACCTGCCTGGCAAGCGCAAGGTTGTGAGTTCAATTTCCGGTACCGGAAAAAAAAAAAAAAAAAGAAAAAAAATTTCATATATATGTAAAATTTTAGGTAGTCTCTGAAACTTACCTTACATTCCAAGGGTGGTTTAGCATTTCAGAAATATCTTTTCTAAAAAAAAAAAAAGTTAACTTCTGAACTACATGTAATCACTTTTGTAATATTTTAAGAAATAAGCAGTCACTAAATAAATAATCACTAAATTCAACATGTAAGACTTTGAGACCATAGAGTGGTAGGAGATTAGATACTCACTGGGGTCAGCTGAGGCACAGGTCTGAGTCAGGCTAGCAGGGAAAGCTTTCTACAGAACAGACACCTTAACCTTTGGCCTAAGCACAACAAAATGGCAGGGATGGGGCTGATAACCCAGGAAATCAATGAAGCTTGAGCTTCCGAGCCTGCTGTGCTTTAAATGTCTGTCCCCTCAAACTCAGAAGAGAAATTTAATTGCCAATATAAAGTCATTGGAAGATGAGCCCCTTAACAGGTAAGGAGGCCATGAGGAGTAGGCTGGACTTGAACTAGCCCAAGCAGGACTCAAACTTGGGAGCCTCCTGCTTCAGCCTCCAGAGTGCTAGGATTATAGGCCTGTGTTACCACAGGCAACTCCTTTCTCCTTTTTGATTCCTGCCTGATAAAGTGAGCCCTTTGCTGTACTTCACACTCCTACTTGATGTGGTGCCCTGTCAGATGCCCAAAGCTATGGGGTCATTTGATCTTGGACTGGGACCTCAAAAATCATAAGCCAAAAAAAATCTCTATTGTTCTTTGTAAGTTAATCTCCTTGGGTATTTTATAGTGCTAGAAAGCTAATACAAGGATTAAATATCTGCACTTATAAAACCTTGATCTGCCCCCATGAAAGAAAGACAAACATAACAACTAAACCACCAAAGAAAGAGCATGAAGGGTAGGAAGGTGAAATCGTGGGGCGCTTAGGCCACAGAAGTGTGGGGTAATCACACAGAACAGGATAGAGGGGCTGGGGATTTAGCTCAGCGGCAAAAGCACCTGCCTGGCAAGCGCAAGGTCCTGAGTTCGTTTCCCGGTACCGGAGAAAAACAAAAAAAAAAAAATTTGTTTGGGGCTGGGGATTTAGCTCAGCAGCAAAAGCGCCTGCCTGGCAAGCGCAAGGTCGTGAGTTCGGTTCCCGGTACCGGAGAAAAACCAAAAAAAAAAAAAAAGAACAGGATAGAGTATGCATGTCAAGTCACACAGTGAGACTTTACTACTGGAGTTTTAAGTAGGCAAAAGACAATAAAATCAGGGTTTAAGGAAGATTCAGCAGTCTTCCTTAGTAGAGAACGACAGGACAGAGGGCTTGCCCTGGTGAGACTGCCTTGGGGAGTCTTCTACTTCAAGGCAGCAAAATTGAGATTATGGTGGAAACAGGAAGGGAAGTAGATCAAAGGTGATTCACTTCCTACAAAATAAAGTGATAGACAAAGAGTTGAAAATATTAAGGTTTGAGAAGGAGGAAGGGGGGCACTGTAAAAGATGAATGGGGCAGAAAATACTGATTTCTGTTCAGTGTAAGCAAGTGTCAGAGAATGGATTAAGCAGCAGTGATATTGAGAAGAAGTGGGCCAAATTCATAACCCTTCCCTCTTCCTCAGGTCCAATGGTACATGTTAGCAAAGACATAAGTACTGAGGCCTAAGGCTTATTACAGTTCCTTAGAGTAGCAGGTTATTTCTATCAGATTTTGCTTCTTTTACCTGCTAATCCTAGTGCTCTTTTTAAAGCAAAAGAGGAATTTTTTTTTTTTTTTATAATTTGGTTACTTTATGAATCCTTTAATCCAACAAATACTTAATGAACTTCCAGTACTATTTTAGGTACTAAAATAAGTTAATTGTGAAAAACTTTCAAACACTATCATTATCCTTATGGGATTTTCAGTTTGTAATATATTGTGTACATACCTCCATGTATATCTATCTATTGCTTAGTTGTGAAGAACATCAGTATCAAAAGTTGATATAAGTTTTAGCTCCCATTTTGATAAAAATTTTGAAAGCAGGTATACTAAAAATATCTAACAACTAGTATGGTCAAGGCCCCACTAATCAGAAGAAATACCAGTCATGTATGTGGTAGGTGGCTCCTAATATAGGCCCCATGATCCCCATACCTCTTGGTTCCATGCCTTCGTCTAACCCTCTCACTTGGACTAGGTCATAAAAATCCTTGGCCATCTTCCCTGCTTGTTGTTGCTCTAGCTCTGAGTCTAGCTGGCATGCTTACTCTGAGGAAGCAGCTGCTATTTATTTTATTAGCTACCCTCTGGAAAGTGCCATAGGCAAGGGATGAAGGTAGTCTCTGGCCAACAGCCAGCAGCTAAGACCCTCAAGTCAGGAGCCCACAGACACCTAAATGCTGCCGGCAGCCAGGTAAATGAGTTGGAAGGGAATCCCCTGACCAGACTGATGCGACTAAAGTCCTGGCTGGCCTTATCCTCAAAGCCTTGGAAGGGACCACAAGAGAGAAGACACGTATTCTTAAGATTTCAACTTAGTCATTCAAAGCTTTCAAGGTCTCTCTTTCCCTTACTCTTTAACTTCAGAAACGTATCAAACAGCACACAGCAAAGGACCATTCTATTCATAGTTGAAGACCAAATCTTAAAAATCTAGAATGCTGGATCCTACTTCTGCATTTAGCTAGCTCATAAACCTAATTGTGCCTTTTCTCTTTTCCCAGAGAATGCCCTTAGGACCAGACTTTATATTTTTCTAGCTTTGACCTTGACTTTCTCTTTCAATGAGTCTTGTATTTAAAAAAAAAAAAAAAAACTTGCCCTCAAATAAAAATATTTTCAGCATTTCCAAAATAGCTACTCAGCACCAAGGACTGTCTGTGGTATTCAAGGCCTGTGATGCCACAGGCCTGTTCTAGGAGAAAGATAAGGTCCAAATAGAAGTCCCTAAAGCTAGTGCTTCTCAGCCACTTTTTGCTGCTTTAATCCTTTTTATAGCATTCTCTTCCCTCAGGAATGTCTCCTACCCAAAACAACTCTCATGATACTTAGTGATTTTCAAGCAGGGAAGATTCCCCCAACCTCCACCCTGCACTCATCCATCAGACTCTGGAAAATACAATCCATGCAGTTTTTAAAAGTTCTTTTGGGGCTGTATAATACATATAATATCAATGACACTTACCAGGCTATGTATATAATCTTTAAACTTTCCTACTCTTAATCCATTTATTTGTCTGTTCATTTGTTTAACAGTACTGGTAACTGTCCTTGAGGATCTCACATTGAGCTACATTCCCAACCTTTTTTTAAAAATTTGAGATAGGATATCACTAAGTTACGCAGGCTGATCTGAAACTTGTAATCCTTCTACGTTAGCTTCCCATGTACCTTTATTACAGATATGGGCCACCACACCCAGTCCTACTCCCATACATTTCAGAGATCCAGTTATGTTAAATTTCAGAGGACATGGGTTAATTATGATAAAACAGTAACAATAGAGGTTTAGAAATGAAAGAGCAATTACCTATGTATAAATCTAAACCACTGCCAGCTAATTTTTTGTACAATTGAAATATTTATAATGCTATACTATAGCAATAGAAACTCAATACGGCAGAAGTCAGAGTTTGCCTAATGGCATGCATTGGCCCAAGAAATAAGATGACAATATGTAAGCACATTGTGACATCTGGTGGTGATTGCAGAATTTTACACTATTTAAACTCTGGCCATTCTGTGACCTATCTTTCTTTAAAAATAAGGAAATAACTTCCAAGAGGTAAGAACACCACTCTGGGTCTTCAATTTTAAGAACAAAATGTAACTTTGTTATCTACATATTTGACAACAGTTATTTAATTCACACAAAAATATGACTTTGTGAGGGATGACCATACATTCCCACATAGTTCCTGTCAAAAGCTGAGTTCTAACAGAGGACACACACTCAGTGCCTCTCACTGACTTCCAACTAAGGGTTCTTATGGTGGGAAATGAACTTCAGTCCTAGGAAGATATAGGGCTTGAAATAAACTAACAAAGGAGAGAACATGTTGAATCCTAAAGTTCTGTATATTTAAAAATCCCTACAAATTTTAAGCAAGGGACAGTGCCCGCATGCCTGTGATCCCAGCACTTGGGGAAGCTGAGGTAAGTGGGTCACAAGTTCCAGCCCAGCCTGGGCCTCTTAGTGGCTTAGCAAGACCTTGTTTTAAAATAAGATAAAGAAGTAAATACATAAAAACTGTGGAGATGAATCTTTAAGAGAAGGCCCCGGGTTCAATTTCTAGTACAGTACTAAAATAAAACAAAATAATTTCTACGAGTTTTATATTTCACTTTACAATGCCTGTCTTTGTTTTAGTATAGAATTGTTAAAAATCTCAACATTTTCCCTCAGAATATTTCCTTCCCAAATCTTTTAAAAGTCTATGGATATTCTTACGCTCTCCCACCAAACTGCCTAGTATGGAAAGTATAGATGTAGGGGATATGGAAGCATTCTCTCAAAGTGTCCAGGCTTAAGTCTTACTGTAAATAAAAGCATCAGAAATCTGCAGCTAACATAGCTGTCAATAATCAAGAGATGGGATAAGGATGCAATGAAGTGGTAGAGCCCTTGCCTAGCATGCTTAAGGCCCTAGGTTCCATCCTTAGGACCATTAATTAATTAATTGTCTAAGAAGAATATAATTTTTTTACCGTACAATGTACTATATTATTCTTTAAATGTTCTTCATGGTTATTGAAAATAAATAACCTCCCAACAGTACTAATTCCTCTTCTGTATCCTTATTAAGTATATAAAGACAGTTAAGGCATCCAATAAGTTCGGAATTGACCTCAACTGAAAGAAGCACTAAAAAAGTGTTTTATAACATTAAAAGCTAATGCCTATCAGCTGGAATTTAGTTGATGAACAGATCCCATTAGTAGCATCAGAGCTGTGGATTTTAAGAAGTTTTTAACATTTAAAGCTAGAAAGCATCCAAATGATTCCTCTATGGTTAAATGAATCAGTATTTCAAAAACAGTGTTAAGCAATAATGCATCCACCCACCCAAACAAGCATGCATGCTAGGGCCTTGCACCTGCTAGGCAAGTGCTCTATCAGTGAGCAACAGACCCAGCCCACTAACGTCCCTTTTCAAAGGCAAAGTATGTTATACAACAATCTGCTATCCTAATTTGAGTGTTTTAGAGACTATCCCAATCATACATTATGAAGCAGTTCCCAGAGAACCAGGCTGCCTTTACCCGAGGAGCTGAGACTCACCATGCTGCACCAAGTACTCCATGATGCTCCTCACCATGGTGGGCACCCCGTCCTTAGTGAGCCCCTGCTGCTGAAGCTCTTGGAGGCTGACTCCAAATAACTTTTTATAGGCAGGATCCTGCTGTTCACTCAGTGGCACTGCCGCTATCTTTTTCATATCTTCCCTCAGCTGAACCGCTGCTTTATTTTGCTTTTAAGCAAAAAAAGAGCAGTTAGTCACGTTGACCCCAGAAGGGTGCATGGTTATAGCAGAAACACCAATGTTAAAATGCAAGGGTCCAGAGATGAACAGTAGCAATCTTTCCTTATTTTTAGGTCAACTCAAATCAAAATCTCTAACATCTCTCACAGGTTGTTGAGTGCTACCAATGGTGCACACTGATCTAATGGTTAGAAGTGCCAAAAATGAGACACCTAAAGCCACAACTTGTGTTGCTGAGAGAGGGAGCAATACACAGCAGTATGCAATAGATATATTACTACAGCAACCAGGGGTGTGACTCAGAGGTACCTGGTTAACAGGAAAATAAAACACTTAGAAGAACACTGACACCTCTTGCAGATCCTGAAACAATGAGATGTTTCTAAAATGAAAGCTTATCTAGATACCATTGTAAGGTAGCTTTAATTTCAAGTGTCAGAATAATATAACTGTGGAATGAACATTTTATTTCTCTGATTTGTTTACATCTACAATCATTATGATTATGCAATAACTTTTTTACATGTAAAATCAGTCTCACTGAAGTACAAAATGCCGTATCTCTATATTTATACAACTTATAATCAATTAATTCATGTTACTGCCACAACAAAAAAATCCATAAAGTTCATTTCTTCTTTTTAATAGAAATTCATATCTAAGGAAAAGAATTTTTTTAAAGCTTGTGCCTTCCATAGATGTTATATACTTAAGCAAATGTAAACAATGAAGAGAAAGATGATCAAATACAAACAATTTGATTTGCAAACAGAGGCAGTAAAACTGGAAAAACAGTCAGCTCTTAAGAATGAATATAGCAACTAACCAATTAATATTATTAAATGATTATCTTTTAGTCATTATAATATCCTCAGAGTAAAAATATTCTATCCTAGAGTTGAAGAAACAAAGAACAGAGGGGTAAGTCACTTGGTTAAAGTTCAGTAAAGGACAGTTTCATATTGTTTTAGGTCCACGTTCCTTTCCTTAATTGATATTTATATTAATGTGATAGTGTACCTTGTGTACAATTATAATAACAAAATGATAAATGCTACAGGTGACACAAGACAGTTATGTGCAATTCAATTCTACAATCTTTCAGTAGGAGCCTTGTAATTTCAATTTGATTTTGAATTTTATAATCTACAAATTCAGGGCAACTTCATTAATATATTTGCATCTTTAAGTCATTTTTATAACAAAAAATAGGTTATTTTTGAAAACCAGATCTCCTTAGTGAAAATTCAGCAAGTGTAAATTTACAGTAGAGATTTAGTATCAATTGTCCCAGTGTTAGCTATGGGGGAAGAGTCATATGGGATTACAGGCCTGCGCCACCACAACCAGCTTATTTTGAATAAACAAATATTAACTTGCAATCACTTCAAAATGTAGGAGGTTAATTATGCCTCTTGACAGCTTTCTGAGCCACAGTGCCGGGACTGATTATCCTATTTAGAAAGTCACAACATAGCGTCTGCACCTCTGACTGGTGGGCAGAAAGAACATCTTCAAGGTTTTAAACTCATAGGCAGAATTTCTAGGAAAACCTTGAAAATGCTAAGGAAATTTAAGAAGCAGGATCTCTATTACCAGGGAAACTGCAATCTTAATTTAGCCAAATTTGTAATGAATCATATTTGCCTTGTGGGTTTACAAACATATCAGTCTCTTTCAACTAAATATATAAGGAGCTTCAATCAGGCCCATCTAGTGAACAGGTAACCAAAAAATAATAGGTAACCAAATAATAATGGAATGCTGAAAATAAAACTGCAGCATGCAAAACAGCCAATAGGGCTGAGGATGTACCTCAGTGATGGAGCACTTGTCTAGCATGTACAAGGTCCTTAGTTCAAGCTTTAGCACTGCAAAAAGGAGAAAGAAAACACCACCATATGGGACACTAATGTTAAGTTATGCAAATTTTATCTTATTTTATCTTCTTACAGAGTCAATATAACATAGCAATTTGAGTATGGATTGCAGAACCAGACTGAACTGACCATCATTCTGATTCGGGTTAACTGTAACCTTGCCCAAGTCACTTAATCTTTGTATGTCTGTTTCCTCAACTATAAAGTGGGAATACAAAGAGTTCTTATGCCACGGAATGCACGGTGGAAACTTGTTTATACACAAGAATTGGAACAGTGCCTGGCATACACATTGAGTACCAACTGTTCAAATCTTCCTCCTCTTCCATTTCCTAGAATTACTACTCTGATGTCTTCTTAATGTAACAGGGAGCAATTTAAACATTCCTGTAGTAAATGTAATGTGGATAGTCTGATGAACCTAATTATTCTCCTCTATATATCTCTACTGTTCTAAAATCTCAGTTTGACCTTTGAACAACAAAAAAAAAAACCTGCCTTTCAGAATTCCTTAAATTTTCTTAGCATTTTCAAAGTTTTCCTAGAAATTCTGCCTATGAGTTTAAAACCTTGAAGATGTTCTTTCTGCCCACCAGTCAGAGGTGCAGACGCTATGTTGTGACTTTCTAAATAGGATAATCAGTCCCAGCACTGTGGTTCAGAAAGCTGTCAAGAGGCATAATTAACCTCCTACATTTTGAAGTGATTGCAAGTTAATATTTGTTTATTCAAAATAAGCTGGGTGTGGTGGTGCACACCTGTAATCCCAGCACTGGGGAGGCTGAGGCAGGAGGATGTTGGGAGTTCGAGGCCAGCCTGGGCTACAAAGTGAGCTCAAGTTCAGCCTGAATTGCATAGTGAGACTCTGTTTCAAAAAACAAACAAACAAAAAAAATAGAGTCAAACGATAAATTATTTACGGTCACAATACTAAAGGAAGATCTGACTATTGCTTTTAATTGCTAATCTAAGGAAAATTCTTTAAAGTAAAACAAATATTGTTTTTAAAACAATGAAACAAGTTACACTTTAATAACAACAAAGGAAGATTTGACTATTGTTTTTAATTAGAAATCTAGTTCAGGTTAACACTTTTAAGAAAGTCAATAATGTTTCTAAAACAACCACAGTAAAACATAATACAGTAGCTGTATTTTCAGAGATATCCAAACCAATCCTTTATTTATCATAAATACACGTGTGGTGGATTGACATCTAGTGGTCAACTTGTAACACCCAGCTGAACTGAGTCAGCATGGTGCTGGGTGTGGAGGACCACCTGAGAATTGTTGCCAGCAGCATGAGGCAGAACTGGAGCAGAAAAAGTTTAGAAGCTGTTGGGAACTGTTAGGGAAGCTGTTGCTTTTCCTGGGGCTGTTGTTGGTTCTTTTGTAGGACCTTGTTATGCTGGCTCTCCTGACAAACTCGACTGTTCTCACTGGAGGAGGAGCTTGGGACCGTGGTGTCTCTGAGAATGGCTATGGTTCATTTTGGGGAGCTCTGGCCCTTGCTTTGAGCATCGCTTCCTGGCTCTGGAGGGGAAGATGGTGCACTGCTCAGTCTCCTGGGGAAGCTTGTTGTGTTGGCTTTCCTTATGGGAACTCGGTTTTTCTCATCATCAGAGGAACTCAGGACCTCTCTGTTGCTGAGGATGTCTGTGGTACTTTTGCGGGGAAGCTCTGGTTCTTACTTTGAGCATCGCCTCCTGACTCTAGTGCAGATCCCTTAGTCTGCTGCACAGATCCTTCATTCTGCTGGCAAAGACTTTCTAGCCTCCACCACTGACCTTTGGGCCTTCCCAGTGAAGATCTGTGAAACAGACTTGTATGAGACATTGTCATGGGCTCTAGGTCTCCAGTTGGACTCATGAGAGGCACTGTTATGGGCTCTTCATCTTTAACTGGGCTTATGTAGGACATTACTGTGGGTTCCAGGCCCTCAGCTGGATTCTTTGGTCTTTAGTGTGTGGACAGATTTCCTGCACGCTCTTTGCATATGATTCTTTGGGTGACCATTATAAATAATCTTATAAAATATGTGTCCTGTATTGTATTATTTCCCCTTGCAAAACCCCAAACTACAACAACATCTAAAAAGGTTTTATTCATCTGGCTTAGCTGGAAACCATTAATAATTATAGCAGTTTATACAAAAAGTACTAAAGAATATAAAACAGCTAAGAATGTCCCTTCCAGTAAGCAATAAAAAATATTCAATAGTCCTTTAGTCATGAAAGGAAAATAACTGTAGAAATGAAAAACCATGTATAATTAATCCATTTAAATAAAAATTATTCTGTACTTTAAAACAATGGTTACACATCACTACCTCCTCATAAATCTGAGTGTAAAGGAGTTTCAGGTTTCCTTCAAATGCACATCTCACCTGTCTTGCCTCAACAGAAACTAAAATAACAACAATTACTAAATGAGGACTCTAAGTCCACCTTAAAATTTAAATTTGACCTATAAATATCCATATATCACTTGAGCTTGAAGACTGGATTAAACTGAGTGTGTGTATGTGTGTACATGGGTGTAAAAGCAATACGGGTTTCCATATACAAAAGAGAGAGAGAACGTGAGGATCCTGCTGTTAGCGTAGTCTTGAGGGGTCACTTAGTGCTTGCATTGTCACCTTAAGAACAAAGAAACCAGAAGGGGCTGGGGATTTAGCTCAGCGGCAAAAGCGCCTGCCTGGCAAGCGCAAGGTCGTGAGTTCGGTTCCTGGTACCGGAGAAAAACCAAAAAAAAAAAAAAAAAAAAAGAACAAAGAAACCAGAACCCAAAAGGCTGTGGTGAAATCACTAAGAAAGGGGCTGGGCCTACAGCCCACATCTCCTGAGTTATGCGTCAGTATTCTTTTTCATTAAGTACTAATGACTTTGCTTACCTACGCCTTTATTTTTGTTGAAAATACAGTTCAGATAGCTAATAAAATACACATTGTGGGACTGGCTGCCTTTTAGGGAGCAGCCCCTTTACTGTGAAGTGATCACCCAGCCTCCAGCAAGGACTGGCCTCTGTGTCCCCTCCAGGTGAGTCAGGCCTTTCTCGTGGAGTGTGAGTGGCCTGTCACGAGACAGATAAACAATAACTAGAGGACTAA